CAAGTAACACGACACGGAGAATTCTTGATTACGTATTGGTGAGCATAGAGATAGAAGCAGCATCGTCGCTATAACATGCTGACTACAGCATGGGAACGACAATATATAGCAGCTGAATCAAGCGCGACGACAGTTTTGTCCATGCTTGATAAGAGTCAACAGTTTCACAATTTTGAAATAATGTAGAGCTTCGACGGTTCCGCTATTATCTAGTATTTTGGCAAACTCGCAGAAGCTTAAAATATCTCATTACTGCGAATATGATATGTTAACACATTAGCCCGGTACTATCACAATTATAGTCTTATACGTAACATGCACCAGCTCCGCCTAATCGACTTCAGTTGCTCTAAGAAACACTGGTAGTTAGCAATCAAAAATGACGCATCTCGTCACTGTAAGCTACACATAGCACAAACCATGTCCATCAGTAAACGACACATAATCATCTTTTTGTGTTAATCCTCTGACCTTCTTATTAAGAAGGAAGTATTGTGGCAGTTACACAGTATATATAAACACCGACGCTGGACAGACAAGGATAAATGGTTGAGTTCTTACTGAGCTCTTGTGAAGGTAACATCACCTCTACAAATCTTATATTAACACAGTTTTTTTTGGTTTATTTCGTAGTGAGCTCTTATAAGGGTAACATCGCCTCTACATATCTTATATTAACATGCTTTTTTTGAGCTAACTAAAGATAAATACAAATTGACTAACTATATATATAACTAATCAATCAGGTAGAGGTACAAATCTTCGGTGTAAGATTTCTTGATATAACATTGTATTAAAATAATAAGCCCATTAGTGTTATCACAGAATAAGAAACACGTAACTTGTTTAATTTTTAGATTCCCAACATTTTCTTAATATTACTAAAAAATTTTTGGTTGTATGATAAGTTTTATTTCAACAATAAAATATTTCAGTTATTTTTCAAACACTTAAATTGATTTGTTTTCTCAAAAATAAATTTTCACAGCTAGATGGCGCATGTATCTACCTCGCTGAAGGGTTGCATTTATCAACTTTATATTGTTTTTTCTTATGTTGAACTAAAAATTTCTGAAAATGATTGAAATGTTGCCTGAATTTTTACCAATTATTATCTTAAATAATATTCTATTTTTAAACTAGATATTTTTTCAACAAAGTAATAAAAAATACTTAAAAAAACTCTGTATTAAATTCATTACAATAATTAAGTACTTTGAGAAACGTTCGTATGTTTTTTATATTAGTAACTCTGTTTGCGTCGTGCTGTTCGCTCTCATTCAATCGCACACTCATTCTTGTTTTTACTTTAGATGACGTTTGTTGCGAAAACGGCAATACGTTTTTTGTTTTAAGGAAGAAAATATATTTTCTACATTTAAAATGCAATAGTTATTATTTAGTTACCAATTACCAAAAAAATAAAAATATATTTTGTGCGAAAATGTTAACAAATAGAAAATTTTTGGGTGAAATAATTTAAAAATATAGCAACAGCAAAAATAGTCAAATGTTAAAAAGTGAAACAAAAATGACGTAAATATTACAAATTTGCAAATAAATGAAAATAAAAGTGCAAAATTAAGAAAAAAATAAATTTAATAAAAATCAAAAAAATAAAAGTTAAGTTTAATATATTTTTTACGACACGTAATAATGAAAAATGAAACGGATTCGGAGGACAGCTCAGACGAGTTTTTTGACGCCGAGGATACGACACCAAATCGATTGTCCACGCTTAGGTGCGAGTGAAATAAATACAAAAAATTGTAAATGGATTTGCAGTAATTCATTAATTTAATTGCAGTCGCAGATCGGTAATTGATGCAACACAATTGCCCCAAGAATTCCTATATCCCGATCCAGCTGTGCGCATCAATGCTTCCTCAGACAGCGACGCCACACCCATCGGAGCAGGAACTCCAGCCACCAGAAGTCCAACAAGTAGTTTAAGTGCACGCTGTCCTAAGCAAGATGTTTTTATCGAACCGAAACCTGTCCATCACGGCACGGTAAGTCAAAAACTCCAAACAAATAGTCCAAATGGTAGATCGATTGCCTTGCCCAATGTTGAGTGCTTAATTTGATTTGTTGTTATTGCTGTTGTTGTACTTGAAACTTTGTTGTTGGTGATTACTGCCTGTCAGGCAGTGTGGATGTTGTGGGTGGTGAATTGGTGTAGAATGGTTGGAGCCTGAGTGCATGAATGACGTTTCTTGTTTGAAGTTTCTTCAAATGGTTTATTGATTTAAGCATTTTTGATGATTTTGAATGCTAAGACATTATTTGTTGTGCTCTTAAATGTTAAATGTTCCGCCATAATTTCTACAGTTTGTTTATGACCAAAAATATTAAAGTTTACAGATTTCCTATTAATATTCAAGCCCACGCTTGCTAATTTCGTGTTTTACATACTAAAATATTTTTTGCATTTTTATTGCTTGTGTAGAAATATTAGCAAAAACTTTCAATTTTTTTTTTGTTCGGATTATACTATTTCATAAATTCCGGCTTCGTAGAGTTTCAGTACATATATTTAAAAATTAGTCTTTCCTTCCAGACTTCCAATAGTCTTCTAAAATTTAACAATGAATGGTAGTCTATTCTATCTTTTTACTCTATTGTATATAATTTTCTCTATTAAATCATTTTCATTATATGGTATATAAATATCCGCATTATATAAATATCTCATAGAAAATTATTAAGCGCTTCATATTCATCATCGCATATATTATAAATTTTTAGCTTCTAAGAGTGTCTTCCTAAAAACGATCTTCGTAAGAATCTATTCTTCCTTATGATCATATTTAGGAAGACAATTTTAAAAGCAAAAAAATTATAATAAATTAACAGAAAATAAAAATGCTCAGACTTGCATTTTTTTTAAAACATTCCATTATGAAAGTCTATGAAATAATAATCTTATATCCCAAACACAGATCTTCTTTAAAGAGTCTTCTCTTATACACCTTGCAACTTGGGTTTATAATTTAGTTTCATATCGGGGTATATAGTAACAAATTGGCGTTTATAAGGTACTTAGGCTAAAGAAAAATGTCTACCGCCACTAAAACTAATCAACCGAAATTTTTAAAATTAATATGTACATCTATAGTAATGCTCTAAATTTTTAAAATGCAGAATCTCTATTGAATTCTGTCTAACACCCATAGTTTTACCTTTTATAAGATGTAAATTTTGTTTGTTGTTGTAGTCCGCAAGGATCAGCTCATGTAGCCCCTTTTGGGTGTGGTGAACGGCATGTATTCGCTGAACTTTAAAAGTCGATCTGGGGCATAGATCCGATCATTTTTAGAACCTTAACTCTGTTTCAATTTGTCTCTTGCCACTTGATAATGACTTAGTGGTGTTGAGCATTGCTGTTGGTTATGTGTTAAGGTTTGAAGTTATGAAGTGTGATGCTCGATCTTCTTCACATGTCAAGGCTAGTCAAAGACTTTTGTAAGTGTGTCATATATATCACATTGTTATTGTTGTAGTCCTTTGGGACCTGTAAGCATATAACATTAAAGCTCTAAGAACGGCCGGGTCTGCGCTCCGGAGCCACTCGTCGCCAGCGACGATTAAGTGCTGTTCCATAGAAACTTCACAAGCAGGTATATATCGCCGTTAGATGAGTAGTTTTGTAAGTTATAGAAATTATACACCAATGATGAAGTGTAATATATAATATTATGAAACGTGTGCGTAATATGCGCTTTTTAGTTGAAATGTTTGATTCACTATATCAGAATATTACTGCTAGTTAGTTATAATGTAACTGTAAATGACTGGAAGATTCCTAAATATTAAAGTTTTTCCATATAGTTTTATGAAGTTAATCTAGATAAACTGTAAGTATTCGGTGATAATTACAATTAATTTCAGAAATGAAAAAATAAAAACTAAATATTGATTATTTATTATTCATACTGAAATTATCTATATAGGTCTCAAGAGTTTGTTTTGTTTTGTTTAGTGATATAATCACATTTATGAAAATTTGAAAAATTGTAGTGAGCTTAAAAATTTTTTTTTATATATGGGTGACCTATTTTAAATCTCGTTTAAAAAAAAAACAATTCGACGAAATAAAATGTTTTGATAAAATAAATATTAATAATAAATTCCAAAAAGTAATGTGCATTTTAGTCATATTGGTTTTCACTACAAAAATATATATTTATAAATAGTTTTTACCGATTGTTATAGAAACAAAAATCTATGAAGAAGTATCTATTATTTAGTATCTTCACAACATCTAAGTTTTTTTCGAAATATCATACAGTTTTGAATGAGAACCGAGTCTACTTATCGGTATCTTCTTGGAGGAAAGGAATAACTTCTTTAATTAAACTTTAAATTTTACCACAGTAAAATGGTGATATTTTCATTAATCAAAACGGTTGGATATTTTGGATATTTTTGAAAATATGATAAACCTTATTCAAGAGTTGCCTTTGTGAGATATAATTTCTGATATATTGACTTCATTTAGAGAGTAGATTGGATGGATTCAGCTTTCCAGAAGAAACTTGCCTGGCTTTCTTGCAAACATTGAAATGAGATTTGTAAAACACATTCATATCGGTCGTTGATGATTAGTAGGTTAGGTTATATAGTAAATCAGCACCTCTCTCACTCAAAGTTGTAAGAAGTATGATATACTCAAAGTTGCCTGGTAGATGGGAGTTACACTAACTGTTGTTATTTCCTAGTATTATTCTTTTTAAAGCAGTTTAAGATAAAGCTGTGTAGATCCGATATATCTATTTCCATAGTTTCAAATATGTTGATGATGGGTCGGATCGTGTAGGAAAGGATACTATTGTATTTGCAATAATCTATAGTTATGAATCGAGCATTATAGCATAGATTTAATAGATTGGATTAGTAGTCCATTTATCATAAATCTGTCATCAAAATATGAGTATTATTATATGTCTATTTCCGTAATATTAAATATGTTAATAATGGGTAGAATCGTGACGTACTATTGTATTTGAAATAATCTATAGTTATGAATGGAGCATTATAAGATACAGATTTGATTAGTAGTCCATTTATCATAAATCCATCATCAAAATATGAGTAGCATTTTAAAGTAACATTCCAATTAAATTGCTCAATATTTTATCGATCTATATATTGCCATAATCATTGTTCTTTGTTCAAAATTTTTTAAAAAATATTTTTAATATATATATATATCGTATGCATCAAGAAATATATATTAATAAGTCTTTTGCGTGAAAATCTTTGTAAATTTCTTAACCTTTCTCCCAATCTCTTTGTGGGAAATAAATCAAATTAAATCATGTAAAAAGTTCATTGCATCACAAAAAAACATTGCCAATTAAACAAATAATTTTACATGCTAATTATTTCTTACAAATTAAGTAATTTAATTAATTTGTCCATTAGACAAAAAAAAAAGTTCACTTTGTTTTGGTCTTTGAAGTAATTTGTATAAAATTCATTTCCCGATATTTTACTTTCTCACATTACCACACCGAATAATACATTAACCCCTTCACTCTATGCTCTGCTGTGATGATGTAGTATAATTCACAATTTCTTCAATTTGTTGTGTATTTATTCATTTATTAAAATTTTTTTAAATTGGAATTGGAATTGAAATTCCAAATCAATTTGTTACTATACACATATGTCGCTCGGTCGCTCTGTCTGTCTGACTAACTGTCTATCTGACGGATTCCGTCCGTCCATCTACATAGCATTTCTCTGTTTATTTGTTTATAATTCAGTGGAACTTTTGCTTTGTTGCTGTTAGTGTCATTTGGAGTCATTAAATTGTTTATTTATTTTCCTAGTTTTTATTATTTTTTATTTCTTTGTATAAATTATGATTGAAAGTTGTGAATTAAATCGTGCACATGTGTTGAAATATAATATTTAACATATGATCGACGTTTTTGACCAATTAAAAAATAATTCCTCTAGCGCAAGAACCACCAGTCGGACAGTTTTGGTTTATGGAAATATTTTTATAAAATTTTTTAAAAAAACTTTCATTTTTTTTACTTGCCATAAAAAGCAATTTGAATTCCACTCAACACCGTTTCATATTTCATTTATCGTAAATAATTATAGTTAACTTAAAAATATTGTTTTATAAAATTCAAAATGTATTTCCGATCGTTAAAAAAGTTCCTAATAAAAAAACATAGTTAACTACACGTTTGACCTAAACAGAAAACAAAGTTAATGGGTCTCAAAAGTTGCAATTTTAAAACTAAATATGAATAATAATTAAAACCACAAAATTATTATATGGTCTATTAAGCTAAACTAATCTTATCTACTTTTTAAAACTGGTATATTGAGTTTGATACTGTCTTTCATTGATCTATGCGTTGGTCTAAAAATTAGTAGAGTGAACATATGCCGGAAGTTTGCTATTTATAAGAAAATAAATGTCATATAATAACTTTAATTAAAGCTTTTAACTAAATATTAGCTGAAAAATATATAATATCATTAACTAAACTGATTAAGTTATACAAACAATAATGCCAATTCATAGAACAAGCGTTGCAACAAGGTTTATCACCCGAAAAAAAACCTCTTGAATTATCAAAACCAGTGGCGGCGCTAGGATTCTCCGACGTCGTAGGTGTCTCGCAAAAAGTTTTTCTTAAAACCTTAACTACACTTACTAATTCAAGTAATCTGCCTTTGTTTGTCTGTTTTTAATGTCAGCTCTAAAGTAATGATTATAAAACATGATCTCATTTCTAAAGATATTAAGCAGTAATTAATATCCCCGAAATCGTTATTTTCATCATACTTTGATATACGAACTTTTACATAAATCCTACATTAGAACGTGCTTAAATTATAAACTCAGATTTCATGATCACATCACTTTACAAATTAATGAGTCATTTCAGTATTTAACACAAATCTACTGTGACAAAGCTTTTGTGTAAAAACTATAAAACTTATAACCATTAAATAAATGATATTATAAATATTAGTCATAACCTAAAATTGTCTTAAATTAGCACTTAAATATATATTATCTTAATGGATGGATAATATATGAACTCAGTTTAATATGTAATATATCTATCTG